TAAATCATTTTCCAAGTGCCTTGGATGAATATGATAGACTTGTTAATAATTCTCCAAATACCAACCATGTAAGAATTTAGAGTAGTGTTCTCAGCCCTGGCTGCACATTATAATTACCTGGGGAATTTAAAACAGTACCAGTACCTGGATCCCACTACCTCAGCTTCTGCTTTTGTTTTTCTGGGAGAATGCCTTGGCACTAGTGTTTTTAAGAGCTTTTCCTTAATACTTAAGTGCAGGCACCTTAGGACCTTGACCTTGGAGTTTTTCCAGCTCACATTCTTTTAATTGCAAATATCTGATAAGATCCACAACCCACTGGGAGGTTCCTGATTGGACAATTAAACCGATCATTCAGATTCAAAGCTGGTTATTCAGAGTACATACAAAATGCATATACCCTTTTGTTCAAACTCAATTCCTGTTCAAGCTAAGTTCCTAGGATGGTCTCAAGATATGGGTAGCCTACTTGCTTGCAAATCTGGGTCTCCATGAACTTTCCATTTGGTCAAGTTTTTGTCGTTTTAATATTTTGATAACTGTATTTGTATAAAAGAAAATCGCTGAAATCTTTTATTAAGTGGTTCAAAGGAAAAAATGTACTCCCTCGTATGTAGTAATATGAGCCTATTACTTTTCTTACAAATGGCAGGTATGACTCAGCCTGTATACAAAAGGAAAACTTTCACATGTTACAAAATGAAAAGGATAATTTTCCTCAGGTACCTATGTCTGTATTGCTTGCAGCTTCATTTTAAGCAGTCATCTCTGTTTTGTGACTCACTGAACACAGTTAACTTCATCTATACATGACTCAAAAACACAGGGATAAATCTTCTAAATGTGATTACATGNCCTTAGAATAAAATATTTTTAAAAATTCAGGATACAAATTATCCAACATCTAAGAGCTTTTTTCCGGGCCGGCCGAATGGCGCGTTGGTTAAGAGCTGGCTTGGGATGCCAGCGGGCTCTGGTTCGGATCCCACACGAGGGCCAGTGACACTGCCCTCTACTGCTAAGATGGTGAACAACAGCTCAACCTGGAGCTGGGCTGCAGCCCCTGCTGCAGTGGGTTGCCATAGGCTACCGTGTGTGGCTGGCAGCCAGCATGAGCGGCCATCCAGAAACCGGCGACTGATCTGCCTCTCCCGGGAAGAGTGCAATGATGGTGCCAGCCTGGGCCAGTGAAGCAAAGTCCTCCAAAACTAGACTGAAGAACAAAAAAAAAGGACAGCAATTTGTCTGTTCCCCTTCCCCCAATTCCCCAATAAAAATCTTTAAAAAAAAAAAGGGCTTCTTTCCAGAGAAAACATAGTTTAAATGAACTAACAAAAATGAGATTATAAATATTTAACAATGTACATTATAAGTAATCTAAATATAATACATTATATATTCTAATCAAATTACCAACTCGTGTAATTCATATTATAACTTCTAGTAGTGGAAACTTTGCAGAGAGGTAAATATGTATATTCTAAAAACCAGCAGAGTTTTCATCAAATCTTTATAAAATACAAGGAAGACACTATGGTTCATTCATTTACCCTGGTTCTCTTTCCCTGGGCAGGAGTTCTGAGACATCTAGTGGCTTCCTAAGTNAATACATAGTTTTCATTTTAAATCATCTTTTACTGTGTTTTTCACTTTTGACTTCTAAGCATTGCATCTTATTTTAGAAAGTTTCCTGCACCCCAGGACATCCAATAAGAGTTCTTCCTTGACATTTGTTTATTCTTTTTTTTTTTTTAACATCAGGACACAACTTTTAAAAAATTACATTTGATATACAATGTTATATTAGTTTCAGGTATACAACACAGTGATTAGAAATTTATATAATTTACAAAGTGACCACCCCTATAAGTCTAGTTCTCAACTGACAATATACATAGTTATTACAATATTATTGACTATATTCCCTATGCTATACATTATATCCTCGTGCTGATTTTTATAACTGGAAATTTGTACTTCTTAATCCCTTCAACTTTATCAGTCATCCTACTGTTAGGTAGAAGTTAGAAAATGGTGGAGGAGGAGGAGTGGGAGGGGGTCCATAGTGTCTACAGAAAAAGCTCATAACTAGCATTGATTAACTGCCTCCAGCCACATATCTGTTTTTACAACAACAGATGACAAGAGGTGGTCTGAAGCAAGATAAGGCTCTGAGTCAACAGACCTCCACCCATCTTAGGAGGTCACGCCTTCCCATGAAAGAGCACACACCACCATTTCCTGCCAAATAACTCCGTCACACCACCCAGCAAACTATAAATCCTCCAGACGAGCTCTCTAGGCTTTTGTGTGTGTGTGGGGGGGGGGGCAGCTCTCTTGCCCATGTTTTCTCCCCTTCGCTTCAGCTAGGCCTCTTCTCTTCCCTGAGAATGTATCATTAATAAACCCTGCTTGCATATTAATCAGCTTGCTGACCTTTGATTCTTCACTGTGTCTGGTAACATTTTGGTGCCATGACTCGGATTGCACCCTTTGTCTCCAGCCATTTGGAAGGTAGTGAGTATGGGTTGGCAAGCCTTTCCCGCGTTCAGAGGAGAATCTTGGCCTTTTCAGGCCTCTTTCTTTTACCTCTCAATTTGCCTCTTTAACCCCTTAAGGCCATGCTCTTTTTGAACACTATTGCCCAATAAGGGGTAACACTGATACCAGCAGACTGGTAGGTGAGGAACGAAGGGACAGCTGCTTGCATGAGGGCTTGAGTACTTCCTTCTGGATGGAATAATCAAAATCATACCCAACTTTCCCCAGTAGCCCTCTCATTTCTCCCTCCTGACTGAGCCTTTTTCGACTCCCAGAAGGATGCAGACACTACCAGGACTCTTTCTCAACCCCCAGAAATCAGAAAAGAACTGGGACAGTCGTGCCACTGTCTCAAGGGGCAGTCTTGCCCTGGCAACTTGCCTCACCCCAGCGAATCATACGGTGTTTTCCGTTTTCTAGATGGGCAATTGAGTCAATTCCCGTCAGTACCCCCTTGAGATGTACCCTTTCTAATTGGTCTCAATTTGATTCTCACTGTCGCTCTGTCCCCGGGGCTCCTTGGCTGCTCAGCGCAGCTGGTTACACACCTTCCTGAAGTCACCAGAAGGGGCCTCCGAGGGACCTCGGCGCGGAAACTCCGGCTCTGGGTTTCGTTTCCTGGATCTTACGTATACAAAAGGGGTTGTTTAGCCAGTCCGCGGGGTCCCGCGTGGCCGCCCGAGGGCTGGAGAGCTGCCTCCAGCCGGCTCCCCAGTGCGGTGGGCGCGGAGATGTCTCCCCTCCCCCTTTCCTACTCTCTGGAGAGATTCCGCAAATGTTGGTTCTGCATTTAACCGGGAAGTCAACATCGGCTGGAATGTGGAAAGTCTTTAACATGGGAATGTTTGCCCCCGGGGCGGGGCCGAAGGCACTGAACTACAAGGAACTGCCTCGCCCCTGGCCTTGACCTTCATCCCCTAGTTGGAGGTAGTGGGAGGTTCAGAGTACAAATGAGGATGCGTCAAGCTTGTTTTCCTTCATCATGCCTTTTCACTTTCTCGCTTTTGCTGCTTGTCTGAGTCATTGTTTCTCGCTTTCAACAAA